TCCTGCAAGACGGATACATACGAGAGAACAGGTATATCCAACAATTCTGGGCAAAAAAATTAAACGTAGTATTTGTTTGAAACATCCTGGTAACAGTGAGGGCTTTGCTTTGGCAAAGTCTTCAGACCCTTGCAGTCTTCAGTCACGCCTCAGTCCTAGGAGTATCCTTAATCCCTTAATCCTAAAGAGTACCCTTAAACTAAGTGCATGTTTAATGGTACACCTAGAGCTGTCCCACTAAGGATGACGGGAAGCATTTTGGAGTAAACATGACCCTTGAAGCACCACCCAAAATTAATCTTAAAAAGCAGGAGTGGACTATAACAGACACAGAAAGCACTAATATCTGTCTGTGCTGTTGTGTGAAAAGTGAGTAAAAACAGAAAAATCACCACTGAGCTTTTTGAAGTGGCCACATTCACAACCCAAAAGGCATTTTCTGCTGCTCATTTTTCAGACTCCTTTTTAACACTTTGCATTTCAAAGCAATGTTTCAATTTCAGGAGCCAACTGACAAATGGTGCCACCCACATGGGAGGCACCGGGGTATGACAGGTCCCACATCACCTCACTCTACATAATGCCCCCTCAGGCAAAACTGCCTCTCTCTATCCCGTTCTAAAATCCTCTAGGTAGTTACCAGTGCCGCTGCAGCTATCTGAAAGACGTACAGATCAAAACAGATCAACAGAGGGAGGAAGTTCCGCAGGCACGGGGCTCACCGTCAGTCTGCAGACCCCAGCGCGAGGTGTGTTTCTGAAGCGACCCATTTTGTCATACTGTAAACCCTCAACACTTGGAAGAAGGCAGCAGTACTAACGGGGCCGGGCTGGGCAGCGCGCAGGACTTCTCTGCACAAGATGCCAGTTAATGATAACGACCCTGTCCCTCCAGAAACGTGGATTAGTCTTCAAGTCACCTTCTTTTAATCTCCAGTAATGCCATTTGAGAGGGGAAGCTGCTTTTGCTCTCAATTCAGGTATGGCTAGTGAGGACTAGTCAGTTTTAGCAAATCACCCTATCAGACACAAAAAGAATAGCTGTTGGCAGGCCTGACTTTCTCAAAAGTGTTTCTGTGCTTCGAGGTGGGTATCCACATTCTCTTCTGGAGAAGAACGTGTGTGTATTGGAAAACAATACAAAAATATTATCTACTAAATTATATATATATATATGTAAAATGTGTCTTGTCCCCAGGTGTTTCCTGCTGTAATTTACCACCCTGATATACCCAGTGCCTAAGCTGCTACTTGTAGGATTGCTCCCAGGCACTTGAAGTGACACAGATTAGCGTGAGACTTTGTATAATGATCTGGGTGAGCAAAGACGTGTTCTGCCAAAAGGACGCCGGGATCTTTGAGCAGGCACCTCACACACAGGTGACAAAATAATTATTATTTCAACCAGCATATCTGCAGAGAATATATATGTATTTCTACATAATATACACTTAAGCTAAAGAAAGTCAACCTCACTAGAGCAGTTTTTGCAATGAATGCAGCCATCCAGATATAAAGTTTAATTGGTTAATTACCTTCAGCGCTCTCGCTGCAGGTCTTATCGATCATATTTCCTATGATACAGCCTTCATCGTTAGCAAACCAGCAGAAGAGCGGCAATCAGCTACTCAAAGTCTATCTCCTCCACTGCCAGTCCTACCAGCACCAAAAAAATCGCAACCCAATGGTTCTCAATCATCTCGGGGGCTCGTCCCCCAGAACAGCGATTCTCACAGTCTGACTGCAGTCAGTACAGTACAGATCTGCTCTCCTGGCAGCCCTAAGGCAATGTGGAGAACAAGAACCGGAAAATGGGATGGAGGGTTGAAGAGACACTTACTCTTTGTCTTTGCTTTCTTTTTCCACTTGAGTGAGACAGTCCCATTTTTCCTCCCGCTTCTTCCTACACATCACAAGGACCATGTCTGTCTTTATCTGTATGGAGAACAGCAAGGCATTAATTTGGAATGCTTCCTAAAGGGATGCTAGTCACAACCACAATGAACAGTGTTAGCTTACAACATAAACCTCTGTCTATACTCACAAATTCCTGAGACATTTATCTCTGCTGTTGATTATTATGCAGCATATACAAATTATAGTACATACTCAGCTTTTGGGTAGAAAATATTAACCTCACTGTGGAGAATTTACATGGAGTGATTAAAATAATACTGGTACAGAACTACAATACCAATACATAAGAACATACAATGCTGCAGAAACACCATTCGGTGATTCTCAGGATGCTAAAAGTATCCAGGACTGTCGAGTAAAGGGTGGCTATATTTACTAAACTCCAAGAATATGAAGTTCAGGCAGAGGCTCTCCCAATTTATTTCTCCCAAGGATAAGAAACTAGTTTTAGGGTATTGCTTCATCTTGCAATATGTTTGCAAGTTACAAGCAGAGCTGGTTTCATTGCAACCCTGACCTAAATTTTGCAAAGAACTCCCGTGTGCCACAGCAGACAAGCGTCTGCTGGAGCTTTAGCTTAGCAAGTATGTGACCACTGCTCACTTTTAGACCATGTTAAAAATCACCAGAGCACCATCCTCATTTATTTCAGTTGTTTTAATTTTACACTGCCCTAGTTTTAGGGCAATTTCAAACTGAACCATCATTTCTTGACATCTGATGTCACCAAGTGCAGCGCACAACTGCACAGAACACACATGGGGTATCTGAGATATCCGCAAGCCCAGAAGGGTGCTACAAGTAGCGGAACACAGACACTATCGCCAGTCGCAGCCATCAACGGGGAAGTGTTGCTAGTGTTCAGTTCCGAAGCAACGCGCCCGTACAGAGACAGAGCAGGTTTCAGACTTTGCTTTAGGTATTATCCCAATTTAAGCTTACCAAGATTTGTCTGATGACAATTCTCTTAGACCTTAAAATTGCAAAGAATTTCTCAGAGGTGTTTAAAAGCACGGAGATGCAAATAGATGCTTAGTGGCGTTATCTGCTTAATTATTTCTGAAATCCTGCTGGAAAGCTATTTTAAAAAGCGTACAATATCCAGACATGATCTTTTGAAATAGAAGCCCATGGATTCCAGAGGATAATTCCACAATTACGACAATTACAGATTAGCAAGAATCACGATCCCAGTGAAAAGACTTTACAGACAGAAGGAAGAGACTGAAGGTCAGCACCGAGTCTCTTGAACTAGAGTCAGGCAACGAACACAGCGCTTTGTGAGGGACCTACAGATCTCTGACAGCTGAGATGTACCAACCTTTCTGGAGCTGCCTTCCACAGAGATGGGTTTCAGGAGGTTGTTGAAGGTCATGGTGTAGTTCTTCCCATTCAGATTCTTCACTAGCAGATCAAACGACCTGGAACCAGAAAGCGGAGGGAGGAAGGGCGCAGATATTCCCATCACTGTAAGACCATTGTGCCTTGCCCCCAAAAACAATGTCTGAAAGCCCTTTAGCAGGCGTATTTCTTGGGAAAGCACGTCAGCGGGCTTGAATGACTTTCTTCCCCAGGTGCTCAAATCTTCAGCTGGATTTAATACTGAGGACTTCTAAAGATCTATCCAGACTTCACAACAAATCAAGATCTTTCGGGGTTTTTCTACCTCACTGATCTCCTACAACCTTGGAAAGGCAGATTTACTTAATGTGCATTTTGATTCTACCACCATCAAAAAACAGGACTAACACTACATATCCTGTCAAGCGTGGTAAGTAAAAACAGCATCTGTAAAATGAAAATACCCTGATACCCTCTAAGGAGAGCTATATTTAAGGGTATGCGCTACTAAAAGCTAATACTGCTCAGGTTTAAAAAAAAAGAAAAAAAGGGGATGGGGAATAAGGGCTGATCCAGAACAGAACTCAACACATTCCTGCATTTCAAATAGTGTTCTTCGCCCATGCTCTCCCATGTGGCACGGTGCAACAAGATGAACTCACCTCTCTGTGAAATTCACCTGCACATTCTCAACTGGAAGCTTCTGGACTCCATTTAAAGAGATGTAAATCTTAATAAACTTATCTGACTGATCCCAACCTGCAAGTGAAAGAAAGAGATTTAAGTCCTAGCTCTCCTCCATAATCTTCATGCATTCCATTCCAACTCCCCTTGCAAAGTCCCCTGGCAATGACTAGGATCTCTGCCTTACTGAAGCGATCTTCAGAGGGATAAGGGAAAGACACGAATTATTCAGGAATAACTTGCGAGCAAAAGGAGGTCCTCACGTGTAGCCCTGTTCCCTAATTCCTGCAAATTCTGAGAAAACACAAGGGCCAGCTCATGTGAAAGGCCAGCAACCCTATCTGTGCAGGGGGAGTCGGAGGCAGCTGCCTGCCTTTGCTGCAGTTTCCTTGACCCACTTTCTCCCCTGCTCCCCACGCGACAAGCATGTTGAGCAATGCCCTCTCCTTTCACCGACATGGCCAGCAGGGAAGCCAAAGCTCGCTTTCGTTGCTCCTAAGCACAAGGCAATGGAAAAACACTGGCTGGTGCACCAGGGATCATTAATGCATCCCACCCGTACTGTCACACAGCCGGAGTTCACACAGACTGTGGTCCAGACAGCAGAGTAAACACGTAGTGTAGTTTCCTTTTAAAGCAGGGTCTCCAGCGTGGAGTAAACACTTAAGAAGGTTTTTCTGTAAGTGGCAGCTGTAACTCACGCTAACGCCACCCTGCCTTCTCCTGAGAGAGATGCCTGAGCTCTAGTCAGCGCTCAGAAAGGGGATCCTACCGTAATTGTTTATTTTCACCGTGTACCCTCCCAGTGACAACTTTTCTTCCTCCGCCCCGTCTTTTGGCTTCGGCGGGGACTGATTCTTGATTTCCAGCTCCAGCTTCAGCTTCTCCGCCATCAGGACGTCGCGAAGCCGCTTCCTCGTGGCTTTCGCGAGCAGCTCCCTCACCTCTTCCAAATCTCTCTGTAAC